AACTCAAAGAAACTCTTCATCATGAACCAGAAAAGGAGAAGAGCGTGGAGAAGGAGACAGAAGGGAGTTCGGTTATTGTTTTATCCGACTCAGAGGGAGGTGAAGGAGACGACGGTGTCATTGATTTAACCGAGGAGAATTCACCTAAAAAGAACACAAAGGAAAGCAATGGCACACAGGTAAAGTCCTTATATCAACAACTTGTGTATTTTTATATTACACCAAATCTGAGCTGTCCAGTCGGGCAAAATCTTTAATATATTTATGTGCCCGTTTGACAGGGTGGATGTGAAAATGGCATCAGCAAGAAGTCAAATGTTACAGGTGAGATTGCATGTTAATTTTAATTTAACCAAAAGTCAAGTTGTGCACTGTACTGACTGTGTATCTGCCTTCCTTTCAGGTGTAGGGTCTCTGCTGGCCCTGCTGCCCTTGCTAAAAGGTCAGGGAGTGGAACTTTCCCCTGATACCAGGATCCGGCTGGAGGAGCTGCAGCTAGAAGGAGATCTGCTGGAGGTTTCCCTAGATCAGATGCATACCATCCACAGAGTCCTGCTAGCTGCCTCTGATCCACCCAGAGAAACACTACACACACTCATACAGGTACTGAAAAATAAAGTGACTGTATAGTTCAATTTTAATCTTCCAGAACTCATTTGGTTTCGATTTGCAACTAGAACCAGGACTAAAGCACAAAAAGACTAACATCATGTACCTCTGGCCCCAAGGAATGTGTGGTGTTGGTCTTCTTTGTGCACCTCCTTATTTGAAATGCATTTAAAAAAAAAAAAGAAAGGAAAAAAAAGAGTCAAATCTTAGAGTTTGAAACCCTGTAAATTGTCAGGTGTTAAAGTTAATACAGTTTTACAGGCAAAGGTTCAGTGCTGACTAATCCAAAATATTACATCACTGTATTTACTTGAACTTGTGCTTCCATGTACTTCAAGGGCTTTTGGGATAGACGGGAAAGGCAGGAAGATTCAGTCCAGGTCTCTGCATTAGCCTTAGTACATCTAGGTCAAATGCTTAACCCATCATCGATATTTTTATATTTTACTAAAACGCTTACTTTAATTTTACTACAAAATGTTGCAGTTGAAGCCTCTGTTATCGTCTCTGTTCAGTGACACAATGTCGTGTGTCTGGCATCTACTTACCTGTAGATATGTGGAATAGCGGAAACTAATGACATTGAGTAATCAAACTATTCTCATACATGAAAACACAGCTCTGTATAGGTAAACATTGCTATACACTGCTGTTAGAACTGATGAATTCCCCATATTTAATTTCACTGATGTATTTTATCAGTGCAGACAGTCTTGACTAAAGTGTTCAGATGATTTTGGTTCAGTCTTTTCTCACATATGACTAGTAAAAACATAAGCGTTTGAACTTCTGCAGGTTTTACAAGATTATTTCCAGAATGTTTTTTATTCTGACCTGCTACATTATTTTTATTTATTTATTAATTAATTAATTTATTTATTACATTTCTTTCATCATCTCTCAGATTGAGCTTGAAGAGCAGAGACGAGCAGGCCGTGGGCGAACCAAGGACTCCAAAAGGAAGAGGAAGAGCCACAGAGGGGGCAGTGGGGACGGAGGACAAAGGTCACTGGATGCCTCGGAGACAAAGAAAACCTGCCCCTTCAGACACACCCCCTCCCCTGTCCAGACCCATCCTGAGGTATCGTATCCCCTTTCTAGATTTTTCTTTTTACCTTGAAATGCATAAAGTACCTTAGTGTTAACCTTTATTTATTTATTTTTTTGATAGATTTTGTGATGCAGTCATCGTTGGAGCTTCGTTACAGTCAGTTAGCCCGAAAAACTGAAGGGACAGGGGCTTTCTGTGCCAGAAGACTGTATCAAGTTACAGAGAGATACAGGACCTCCCCTGTGCTCTGCTTTCCTTCTCACACCTCATTTATGCATTCAGACACTAAGAGTGGTGACTCTTCTACACTCCAGTATCATCCATAACACCGCAGTATCTCATTTGTCCGGATTTTTTATTATTATTATTATTTTCTTTTTTGTTGTTGTTGTTGTTGTTGTTCAGGCTCGCAGTCTTACCCAAACTTTATTCTCCACCTTCCCTGGACGAATTCTTCCTGTGAACATAATAAGACTGTGCTTGACAGATGTGAGACTTGCCGTAATAGGAGCGTCTTTGGTCTAGAGTTGTCTCTGAGGTCTTTCAGTATGCTATGTTATCCCAACTGTGTTAAAAGCTAGTTTAAGCGAAGCCTGTCACGAGGACCGGCATTTGCAGTTTCACTTCACTTGAGTCACTTGTTGAAGTTGGATAAGCTATGGGTTTATTTTAGACTGTTGTTTGGGCATGACTCCTGAAGCTGTGCTGCAGTAGAGGATTTTGACTACTGATCTGAGACAACAGCGCCATGGATACACTTTTTTTTGTTTGTTTTTTTTTTGTTGGTTTTTTTTGTAGTTGTTTCAAATCTCGTGTTTGATGCTGTTTTGAGGGGACATGCATTTTAAATAAGTAAATTTTGGGAAGTGTTAAAAACAGGCATTAATGTTTTTGGTGCTACTTTCCCAAAATGTACCTCCGCACCTCCTGGCTTCCTCCCTCTCTCCTTTCCCATTTTTTTTCCTCTTTTTTTTTTTTTTTTTTTTTAAAAAAAAACTCCCATCCTTTTGACTCCTGGTTTTATTCCTCCCTCTGTCATTGTCTCCCTCTTTGCAAGTTAAGGTTAACTTCACTGTAACTCACTTTATCCCAATATATTTTGTTTTCTTTTGTTCAGATGATTATTATTATTATTATATTATTATTATTATTATTGATATTGCAGACACACAGATGTCGTGAGTTTGTGTATAAACTTTTCATTTTACTGTTGCCTTTTGTTTCTTTTCACTCTTGTTAGAAAAATAAAAGGTTTAGAATTGTTTAGGAAACATGGACTGATTTTTCACCTTGTCCTTCTATAGTCATAAAAGCGCTATATATAGAGATGGTATGTTGTTTTTGGGAAAAGATTTACACATAAGTGCCAACCAACAACATTTTCAGTTCTATCTGGAGAGAATTAAGCCTGTTTATTATTATTATTATTATTATTATTATTATTTGTAGCTGTAACATATAGATTTCCTATAAATGCAGTTAAACACACTGATTAAGTTATTATTTTGGAAGAACTGCTGTAAGGATTCACATTCACTACATGTGTTTTTGTGCTTGTTCAGAAATGTCTGCGAATGAACAAATTATTAGGAGATTGAAACCAGCAGTCATGGGAAGAGAGGCAGGTAACAGAGGACAAAGACAGATGCTCACATGCACATCTATTGCTAATTAACCATTAACACTGACTGGAGTATCTGGAGAGAGCCTGTGCAGATCTGGGTAGACCATGCAAGTGCCCCGTTTTCAGAAAGGACCCAGGTGGCTGGATTTGAACCTAGAATCGTCTTGCTGTGTGGCAGAGCTGACTACTGCACCACAGTCAGTATATAACACTGACTATTTCTAACTTTCCTTTTGTGAAAACCAATTTAAGTCTCAAGACCTTCAGAATGAGCGATGGCTCTGATGGTTTTTCCACTCATACTGTGTTACAGCAGCAGGATAAAGAATAAAAATAGTACATATGCAGTACTGCCACCACTGCATAGTGAGTGCATTATAGTATGAGAAATTTAATATTCAAATTGAAAGTTTTCTTTGAAGTGGATCTTCATTGTTATTGCCATTACTAATTGGATCTCCCCTCACCCAATTGCAGCAGATGGCAGCCCGTCCCCTCCCCTGGTTCTGTCTGATGTTTCTTACTCTTCAAAGTGAGTTTATTCATCCCACTATCACCAGGTGCTTGCTCATAGGAGGTTATGTGACGGGGTTTTTCTAATTCAGTTTTATTTATATACCACCAAACTGCAACAACAGTTTCTTCAAGCCACTTTATGTAAATGCCATAGAATCATCATGTAATATCATTACCCAAAGCACAAACTTGTTTGGTTGAACTGAATGGTATTGAATGTCTTCATATCATATTTGCTCCATATAAGTCTTGTTTCTTCCATAAGAAACAAAGCAAAAATCAAACCTTTAATGGCACCAAATAATTTTGAAATGTCACTCCTCTTCTTGCGTCCCTTTATCGGCTTCCAGGGAAATTTTGAATGCATTTTCAAATGTTATAAATTAACCTCCTAGGACCTGGCATCCACATATGTG